CCACCAGGCCCCACCACGATCACATCCGGCCCCTCCTCTACACATCCAGCATCCCCTTTCCGTTCGACAAGTACAGCCCGCGGTCGGGCCGGAGGCTCTGGTTACGCCCCAGATTCGCGCCCGGCCTCCAGTGGCGCAGCCATCTGAGGATTGTGCGAGAGACAATTGATCTGGAGTGAGTGAGTGCGAGAGGAGTTCCACGACACGCGACACTCATCTCCCTATCCCTATCTCCTATCTCCGTGTCACAAGTTTTGCCGTATATATCAACCCCTCGCTTCTGGAGCGATGTACGTAAAAGTTGTTGCCACTGTTGCCTACTGCTGGCTGAAAAGCATGATTTTCGCGTCAGCGTTGAGCACAAGCAAGGAACGCTTCGACGAGTTCTGATCGCATCATCCCCCGTCCCCGGGGCCGGCCCGGGCCGGGCGAGGTCGGCCGACTTACTCTGCACGAGCTTCTCGACGATGAGCGGGTAGAAGTCCCTGGCCGTCCTGTTGTTGGGCTCGTACTGCAGAACTGGAACAGAGCACGACGACGGTGATTAGAGAGGGGCAGCCCACGGGAGCAGCGACCAAACAACTAACTAATCATGTGCTTTCTTCTTTTGCGTGTGGTAGAACCAGAGACGCTTCTTTCTCTCTGTCTCCACACGCCACCCTGCCGCACGCCCGTCGCCCGCGCCCCGTGGTCCGGAAAGCCGTCCGTCAAAGCCCGTGCCTCATGGGTATTGTGAGGTTCGTGCCGTTGCTGCCCAGGGCGTGCCTAGGCTGTGCCCAGGGCGTGCCCTGCCCTACCCCACTGCGGTCGGCCTGGCCCGGCCCGCCAGGCCATGGTCTCTCGGACACAATGGCGACGGCCGGGCCGGGCGTGGAGATGTTGCGGGTCGGAATTACTCTTGTTGATGGCTCGCCGGGTGCGCATGCAAAGCGGGGCGGGCAGGGGCGGGCAAGGGGCGGGCAGTGGCGGGCAGTGGCGGGCAGGGGCGGGCAGGAGCGGGAAAGGACGCGAACGGCGCGAGGGGATAGCTTTTATGCTTCCCTCCTGTTTCGGAGAGGCGCGCGGCGCGCGGCGCGCGGGCCGGCCCGGGTACCAGAGTCATTTGCATCAGTACCCCTGAGCACCGACCGTTTTTCTTTCTCTCCACTGCCGCCTCTTTTTGTCTCTCTTTTCCCCTTTCCCCATTTGTTTTGTTCTTCTCGTCCACTATTGGGTAGGACTTTCTACTATGTGCACCAACAAAGGTAGGTCTTTTCCGGAGTATGAGGGTACACATTTATGACGTTCATAACTTTGAACTTGATATACAGGAGCGGCATTTATAAAACGTGCTAATTCCAAAGATTTCTGTGAAGGGCCTAACACGTTTAGTGTGCGTTCTGGCGGTTGGAAAAACCCAGTAAAGCGTGGCCACAATGTGATCGCGTTGCAGTGAGCGTACCGGCACCTTTGATTGGGTGCTGCTGAGTCCT